CCTCTTAGAGGAACTGCTTGTATTTCTCTAATTGTGTAAAATATTTTGGCATACTTAAAACACATTTTGTTCTACACGATGTATGTATGGTACAAAAATTAGTTAGAACAGAATGCAATTTAAGGGATAATTAGCCAGTTGTGCAGTATACAAATTAGCCCTTCATATAAAGAGAAGGCTTACAAACCATAATACTACAGAAGCTTTTTGATATTACAATTACTGTTATTATATGGAATTGACTACATTTGCAGTGATGCATAATCCTGTGACTGAGGAAATCACATTCTCAGACTTTCTTCAATTTTAGTTTGCAGCTTAACACTATGACAAAGCTCTCACAAAAGATTTGATATCAATATGATGTGACACAACTGAACCAAACCTTAATTTCACTCACAGTAAGAAATCACAGGATTAAGTAACACTGTGCAGTCTTTTAGAAAAGTTTATTGCTTCCAGATGGATGCAAGTTTCCTTTCAGCACTGATTGTATCTTCCATACACAGGGTGCCAATGTTACTATAAATATAGACAAAAGCAGTTATAAAGATAAATTATTAAGATATTGACATAAACAGGCTCATACAATACTGCCTCTCTCCACAACGCACAACTACATTAGAGTGATGTGTATCACAAATGCTCAATATAAAACCACATACACTCTTTTCAGAAATTACAGCCCATATATGAACAAGCACAAATTTACAATATGTCCATAAAATGATTTCTAATTCAAACTGTGTGCTCTTTGCCCCATGTTGTGTAGTGCCATGTGTTTCACTGCATGGGGCACAGCACCAAGATGTCCACCTGTGCCCATGTATCTGCGCAGTAAGCTAAGTGTATGCTTACATCATTTAGCAGCAGAACTGTTGAATACACGCTGCAACATGCATTAAAATAAAACTAAAAGTGTAAATAATAGATGTCTTTAAGCTAAGTTAAATGTCAAACTATGTCCATAAACCACTGATACAATATATCTACACCTCCACATTTTTTTTAAAAAGAATCCTGAGGAACATTTGATTAACTGTAAGAAAATTCAATATAATGCTATTTTGTAAATCAAAATATGCTCAAAAACTATCAGGTAAAGCCAGTACTTTCACTTCTTTTAATATTTAATGTTGTTATACAGTTCACGAACTGTAAGAATAAATGGTAATGAGTCATTTAAAACACGTTATTTGGAGATCTTTCAATTTTTGAGAATCTCATGAAAATTTCATCTTGGTTTTGATTTGTGTAATAGCCAGTGCATAAAGTAGAGTAAGTTAATACACTTTGAAGAACATGCAGAAGCTATAAATTTAGCCCAAGTAGGACTAAAATTTCAGCATTAAGTACCATAAGATCCAAAATTAACTATTAGCATTGAAATCAGTTTCACTTTTACATTAAGCTACATCAGTATGCTAAGTTACATACAGAAAGCCACTTACTTTCTAGTAGTCACAACAGTCTCAACACAAGACAGAGCAACTAATCAGAAAACTAGCAACAAACAACCCACCCCAAATCTTTCCATGGTGTATGCTTTATATTCTTGCATGCACCAATGGCCTTAAACAAGCAGCCTCCTATCTGTTTTAAGCAAATTCCTTGACATCTCCCATCTACTTCTAACTCCAGTACTGTAACTGTAGCTACACACCACATTTACAACCCTATTCCTAGTCGCAGTCCATTCCTAATCCTAGTACTCAGTAGTACTAAAATCAAATAAAATCTACTCATGACATGTCAAAAAAACCCCACCAAAAAACCAAACTACACAACACCAAAAAAACCCACCAAAAAAAAACCCCCACAAAACTCATTTAAGATGCATTTTCACTGCTGGACAAACTCTTGTTAGATGACAAAGGAACAATTAAAACCTCTTCTAACACATACAGATTTTTTACTCCCCCTAATCTTTAAAATGCTAACATTACACCAAACGGACACATATACAGGGACTACCACTACAAGGTTGAAGTAAATATCATACTTGCAGATCCTTAGAATTTGACTCACAGCGTAAAAGTCCTGAATATGTTTGCAGGATCAGGAAGCGATTCATATTCAAAGCACCTATACAGCAACTAACGGAGATGTATCTTCAGACTCTCCAACAGGCACTTGCACAGTATGTGTGTTATTGTTAATATTCTATTTACATTTTCCTTTACAAAAATATTCAACTTACCTTGCTCATTTAAAAGTAAAGTTAACAAATCTGAGTTTCTACACATATCCAGCAACAAGTTACAAATCAGACAACAGTCTTTGAGTTGGCCTTAAAGTGAACCAGTGCAAGAAAATTATCATCATCTGTGTTCAAGAATTGATTACTATAGATCCCTTGGCACGTATCTTTCAGCTGCTGATGAAACAAACGGATATTTTATATTGAGAGTCATCTTCTACCCTGCGAACATCAGAAATCTTCTGAAAGAGATTAATGGAAGAATTCCAGCTAAGCATATTAAAGTTGCACTTTTTCCTAATCCTAAGGCTGATGAAACTAATTACTCTTCCAGAATGGATTCTAATGATCCAAACTCATATCCTATTCACATATAGCTATGGTATTTGGAATTTAACTTCTTTTTGTCCACAATGAAAATAAATAAGACTACAGTAATTATAAGCATACATCTGAGCCATATTTTCAAGGCACTTATGGCTAAGCAGTACATGCTTCCTATACAGTCTGCAACTGTACTGTAATTCTTAACAACATTTAATAAAATCAACCTCTCGATATTTTGTCAAACAAAAAACACACATTCTTACTAAACTATATTGATCCACCAATAAAAATAAGTACCTTGCAAATGGAAAGCTAGGCAAATTCAAGTTTGAATTCTACCAAGAAAGCCTGCTTAGTAGTGCAAATACAGAAGGAATTACAGACGAAGTGATGTGTGTGCTTTTACATAAAATGTCAGATAAATATAATGTAACCAGTTTCTGGTTCTTAAGACCAGCAATACCAGGTCAGAGCAAAAACCCATCTGTCCTAGCATCTTATGTCAAGCCATATCAATATGCAGATGCTAAGAGAAGAGAATGAATAAAGGAAGCTTTTATTCTATTTTCCACTAATACTTTACCACTCCCCACCTGTTTTCATTTGGGACACCCTGAACTGACTGCAGTTACTACCCATTTAACAGCACTCAAATAAGACCTTCTATCTCCAGCTGAATTGACAAAATCTTTTAGAATTAACAATATCTTTTGGCAGCAGGTTTTGCAATTCTTTTACCTGCTGCATGATTATTCCTTTTGTTTTGAGCATGGCTCTTCTTAGCCTTATTAGATGCACTTTATATCTTGTGTTGGAAGACAGAAAGCCATTGCCACTTACTCTCTTCTCCAGGCCCCATATCAACTGCCTCCCTTTCAGACCAAAAAAGGCCAGCCTAGTCCATCATTCTCATTCAGGAGCCTTTCCTTCCCTTTAATCATAGGTTTGGGTTGGAAGGGACCTTAAAGATCATCATCATCATCATCATCACTGTCACCCACTGAACCTTCTCTAGTCCCACATGATCTTTGTTGAGACCACCAGAAGTCCACACAGTATTCAAGATGTAGTTAAACAACTGTTGGTTTATAGAGCAGACAAATATCTGGTTTAGTCTCTATTTATGTTCTAATGATCCTTAACATAATAATCCTACCAACTGTTTAAGTGACAGATCACCTTTTCCACATAACAAACCTTTGATCATATACATTATGAATGGTCTAGTTATAGCTCCTGGTATTGATCCCAAGCTGATGGAATTCAAATAAAAGACCAATACATTACACTATGCTTAATTATACAAACTCTTGAACTCACTGTCCCATTGCTCTTCAAACCTCTAAAACAGTATATCTCCGAAGCTGTGCTGTAGGACATAACTGACAATCTAAAAAGACTTTTCCACTTCTATTTTAACAGTCTCCAAAAAAAGATCAGTATTTCTGCTTTTCTGTTTACCCCATGCCATTTTTCTCCTCTTCCATAATCCTTCCAGACTAAATTGTTAATATACCAAAGGCACTATGAACTTTTCAGACAGCCTTCATTCCACAAATTAGACAAAAAGAACAAATATTCAAAACATAAAACAAAGAGAAGCATACTTGAAAACAGCCTTCTTTTTAATGTAATTTCATTCGCTTGCTCCTGCATACAGAATAATATTGCTAAGCTGTTAAACTTGCAAATATAAAAAGCAGTAGCTGCGTTAAGCAAACCAAACAAGCATATATGTATAAATTCCATTGTAAATTAAGTACTGAATTTCTGTGTGTATATTCCACAAATGGGTTCCATAAAACAAGTGAGACCTAGGGACAAAATTTCAAAAACACCACCTGCTTGTTTCTATCATATTTTAATAATTAACCCCTCAACAAGTGTAAATGGAGAAAAAAAAAGCCTTTCCATTATTGTTTATTGTTTGTACTACACTAAGTAAAATAAATACAAACTCCTTTCTTCTGCTAAGCATTGTTTTCTAAAGCAACCACAGTTCTTGATACTCCTCCATCACAAAAGATCTATAAAATAAAAAAGGATGTGGGGGATATCCTTAGTTTAACCACAGTGCTGTTTAATGAGAGTGCTGCAGTCAAGTGACCAAGAAACACTATAGTTCATGTGAAACATTCAGAACATTCTTTTTCCTTTAATAAAAATAATACCAAGTTAAAAATAAACATCTATATACAGTCCTCTCTTGATTACTGGAACATACCAATATATTTAGTTTTACCTGGGAATCTGTCATCTGCAGATTTTACTAAATGAAACCACAAATCTGTTCAAAATTTGTCACTGACATGAGTTACCACCATCTATAGCCATCTAACTGTTAGTGTATTATTCACTGGTGTTATGGTAATTTTGACTCCTAATTACCTCACCCCCAGTTAACACTACACAGATGTGACAGAGCAGGCCTTTGGGAAGTCCAAAACCATCCAAGTATGAAATTTTTCAGTACCTTTCATGACAGAGCTGTTTGATGAGTCTCCAAAAGGCCTTGCAATAAACAGTGTATCGGGGAGAGGACTTGGACAGGAGAAATGTCATTTTGAACCATCTTCAGAACATTCAGCTGATCGGCCAGGAAAAGGTGTGTTGTTTTCACACAGAAAGCCAGACAGTTATCTTCAGATTTGTCCTATTTACTTTTAGCAATTTATTCACAGGAATTTTCACTTAAGTTAGAATAACATGGGCTTTCTTAGAAAAGCCACTTTCCTACAACATTTTTTAAAGTAAGAATACTTATTCTATTTCTAATACTGTACCAAAACAACATAGAAAATATAAATACAAAAGATGATGTTTAAACAACTGTCAAATGGGTGAGTTAATAGGATGACAAGCATTTAACTTAAATTCAGAAGAGTATCTTCAAAACAGCATTATATTTAGTCACAGGTATTTATTGTTGTTACCCTTAACTTGATCAGTTCTCTGTAAAATTTTGTTTTTCCAAGACTGCCTGAACCGTGTAAAGGTCTGTTTCCAGGATACGTATAATTGTGCAGTACATAACATCTGTTCCTTTGCATTCTCTGAGCTTTGCAAAGCATACTTTCCTATATTCACTTGGGTGTATGGACTGACAGGAGAGATATATTGTCACAGTTCAAATAAACTGACAACTACTCTGTACTGAAAACCATCTAACTACCATCTTGCGCAACCTAAATAGACAAAAGCCAGGGAATTCAGAGTTCAGCACTGAATTCTGTTAATGAACTGACAGTTTGTTTAAAATTGCAATGCATAGGCAAGAAACAGCCCCACATTAGATTAAAAACTGTGAAGTAATCCAAGTTTCTGCACTTTTATTTTGTCAGAGATTTAATATATTCCTACATCTACAACTAAATAAGAAGCCAGGGGAGGAAGGAAGTCACGCCAGATCTTAAACATAAGCAGCAGAATTTTCTGTCATCAAATGCCTTACAGCAAGGCCACCATACATCATGGCTGACACGAAAATTCAGACCTACAATATCTACTTTTAAAACACTTTTTATCTTGGTTTGTTTGTTTTTTGGGTTTTTTGTTTTTTTTTTTTTTTTTAACAAACATCCTTGTCTGCTAGCACTGAGAGATCATGAGGTAAAACAGCAGCGTCCATACTACTAGTAAGGAAAGCTCATTGTTCCTTGTAAAATAAAGCCAGCGGTGGGCATGGAAAGTAATTTTTAATTCTTACACAAGTTATCCTGGGGTTATTTGAATAATTTGTGATTTGCTCTGGTTTCTAAGCTCCAGTTTTACAAACATCAAGCGCTGTGGCTTACAATCATTCTACATGCTCTGGCTTAACAAACATATTACAAAACCTCCAAACTAAGTGTGGCTTAAAGCATTTTCTTGATTTTGCAATTTAAGGGCTTACATATTTATTGCAACAATCTCAAAGTTGCTAAGAGCTTTGTTGTCTTTGACAGATACACATAAAGAGCTCGACACCAGTTCTGCACTGTGTTTTCTTTAATCTCTAACATTTGCAAAATAACATTCAATATTTAGCATTTACATTAGACACTATGCTGAAATATTTTACAACATTCAGCTAAGGTGACAAACATAAATCACACACACACACACAAACAATCTATTAATCAAACACCTACCCATCAAAGAATAAATATAAACAAAAAGGGGAGGGGAACAAAAAAAACCTAGGAAAATTTGGGGAAGGAATAATGTAAGAAGCACCCTCTCAATCTCTACATAAGCATTCTAAACACTCCAATTTAAGAGACTGATAAAGATACAAATACAGGTCAAGGCTTCAAACAAATACACTCAAATCCAAGCACCAAACTCATTCCCAAAAGTTAAACTCAGTTAATACTATCCTACACCACAGACAAGCCAGTCGTGATAACTGTGCCTAAATAATGAGAATTTGGATACTTTGTGAAACACAGCTGATTGATTCTTCTCCACAGAGCAGCTGGTAATAATGGTAATTCTAGCATCATAAAACTTCCAGGTTTGTGGGACATTCCTTGTTGCTCTGATGAACTTAGGTGGGGGTAGGTGTTATGACTCTATGGGGAAATGCAATAGGAAAACAGTTACCTTGCAACCCTATAGGAGGCAATGTTCTCATTCAATAGTGCATTTTTAATCCTCATACTTTTATAAAAAAAAACAAACACCAACAAACACCTTTTCCTTTAGCAGCATCATCACTGAAAATTACAAAACCGATTACTTTTAATTCCAAATCACATTTGGAATTAATAGACTTTAGAGTAAAAAGGCAGAAGGAGATGAAAACGCATATCAATAAATGGACCTAAAGAAATACCAGAAGCCTAATTATTTTTCAAAATACGAAGTCTCATGCATGCTTAAATGTACTTCAAATTTTAAAACCACAAACAGTATTATGTGAAAGTAACTATCCTTATACAAGCATAGAGGGTATCTCGGCAAAGTAATAAGCCACTTTTCAATCAACATACCTTTTTTTCCTGCAAAGTGCCACAGCAAAACAGCTTGACAGCAAAATCTGGAGTCCTACAAAAAGGATTTCTATGCTCAGCCAAGGTGCAGAAATAGGAAATACTGATGTTTTCAACTCTCCATCATAACTACATAAAATCCAGTTACCCAGATAACATCTACATGTGAAAGAGAGACTATAACACATCTTCATAATTCATACAAGAGGAGTTTCCAACACACTAAGTCATCCTTGGTTGCATTTACAGGGTCATATCTTTCCTGTCAGTTGCAGTGCCACATACATTTTCACTTATTCAGCTACACTTAAATATGTTATCATAAATTGGTATCACTGCCCAAAGCTTAATACCTGCACTCCAACAGAAGAGGGAAGGGTTCCCAAATTACAAGAAGGCAATTCCAGAACTTTTTCTCCAGTGAAATAGTTTGAGAAAAACCATCCTCACCCTTAGTCTAGTGTATTGTTGAGACTGCCTAAACAATTGGAAGGAGGAAGCTCTAGCCACTTATTTAAAGCCAGCAGTTAAAAAAAAACCCCAACATTATTAATGGGTATTTTAGAAAGTTAGTTTATTAACTTTACAGTTGTACTCAGCTCTGTACTATGCCGTTGAAAGGTGAAACACAACTCAAAAAATTGACAGTTAATGTCTGAGACAGGAATCAATTTAGAAAAGGATCTCAGCATAATGCAATTCTATAGCAGTCCCAGTAGTAAATGACAAAAAGGTCAAATTTGAAAGGAAACAGCAGATAGCACCGCAAAACTAGCAGATGTTCCTAAAGGATCATCTGTACAAAAACATAAGCATATGTGAGAGAAATCCAACACTATCACGAAATCAGTTGGTGTCTAACATAATAGCAGTTCCTTATGGCAATATGGTAATACACATATCAGATACTCAACACATTATGTTTTTTTGTCTGCACATACTGTTACAACATAAGTCACAAAACCCAGAACCACTGATTTCCTTGAAAGGAAAACATCAGTTCCATGACCCACTAACATTAAGGTACACAAAGACCACTCAGTTCTTCAGGTTTATGTTCTCAGATTTTCAGCCATTTAGGCTTTTTCATAAATTGTCTAAGAAGGATAGAAATATTTTTAGAGTATTAAATGCATTGAAGTAAAAACTTCTTTTAAAGGCAGTGCATAATATAGCTGGATACACCTAAATAAAGGGCAAACAGAAAGGGATTCCTTCTGTCTAATTATGTATTTGTTTGGGGCTTGCATAATAGCAACAATATCTATTATTTACCTGCTGTTTTTGTAACATACTTAGTTGACAAATAAGATACCTACAACAAAAACTGTTTATGTAGGTTTTGTTTATTTTTAATACAACAAGAGCAGATGACAGACTTTCCTGCTTTACTTTTATTTCTACTTTATAACTGTAGAGATAGCAACGCCTTAATCTGAGCATGTCTTTGGTCAAGATACAAAATAAAAAATGCTAAAGAACATCACTTTCTGAATTCTAACCCATTTATTACCATGAAGAGTTACAACTGTGGAAGTAAGCTTATATGGAAGGCCCAAGTAGGCACCATGATCCCCACAATTATTGCACACAGTTCTGGGAGAGAAACAGCCACAGAGAAAGCAGACAGCAGTCTCAAACTCTGAGTAACCAAGCTAGTCATCATGGTTTGTATTTGTTTCCTATAGACATTTAAATAAATAAATAAATAAAATGGGATTTCAGGAACTGTGTAGCTTCTTGGATGTTTACAGAGCACTGCTTCTAAACTTAAGGAATTGCCTCAAAGAAAACACAGATTTTCCAGTAAACTACACTCAGAAGACAAGGTAAGTTGGCAACATTTGGTGCAACAGAAAAGACATAAAGGCACATTGTAAAGTGGCACAAATTTGTGGATTATATGGTAAAGTGGCAACCAAAAAAAGATGTCAATAACATCAAGAATATGAAAAGAAGTTTAAAAAAAGAAAGTGTTTTACAAAGGCTGAAGAATAGAACAGTTCACCAACTGAGATACAGGACATGCTTAGGTAGGGATTTGCCTGCATACTGGTTTTAATGATTTTCAAAGAACATTAACTTGCACTGAGAAAGGTAGTCAGACCTGTAGCACTATCACAAACCTGAAAATAGCACTAATGCGGACAGCAAAGATCGGTTAGTATATCACCTTTTTTTTTTTAATAGACACTTTTGGATTCTTTCCATCATGATATAGAAGACCACCAATTTCCTCTTACACACCTTTGCACACAAAGCATAATCAAAAGAGTTGGCAATTATTCTAGAATAGGAAAATTATGGAAGTTTGATAGCATATATATATTTTTTAAACAAACTTGCATCCTACCTCTCCTTACCTCACCATCTTATTGTGTCTGACTTTCCAGGGATTTCCCTATCCTGAATCACACAGATTTCACACCCTATAGCACCACCCTGCATGTCTTCTATCTGCCTAGCAAGAGCTACAGTTTTTCCTCTGTTCACTAATATCCCTCCCTACAGTACCCACAAATCCTTCCCACACCCATATGGCACCTCACCAAAACCCTTACACTCTCTTAATATAT